ATATACGAATAAAGTCGATGCTATGAATGGTGGAAGTTCACAAATTATTTCAACCATTTTTTTTTTGAAACTCTTGATAAATCAACAATTCTATCTTAAATAGAATGCATTTTTCTTTAATTTTATTTAATCGTTTAAACATAATTAATTTTATCGATCTAAATTGTTGCATTGTTTAAATTCGATGGTGACAATCATAATAATTTTATGTACAACCTAAAATATAGAAGTTATTATTTTTCCACCTAATAAAACTGTCTTTACCTCCTTTTGAGTACGTTTATCAATCGACTGGCTGATCTTTTATTTCAGCAGTGTAAGTATTATTGTATACCCTGTTCTTAAAAATTATTACTACAAGATCAAAAATAATTTTTTTAAATTATTTTAATTAATTGAATTTTTGGCTGACCATACCAATACTGTTTCTTGTATTGCCAAATACCTATCATCAGTGGTCTTGGAAATAATTCTTGTATTTGTAAAATTTATTTGTAAATAATTTTTTTTTGACACTGCAAGTACCAGAGATTGAACTCGTGCCCTGCCAAATTTGAAGCTTAGAGTCAGCGTTCACTACAGTTCGAAACTTCTCTGTTAAATACCACAGCTACTTTTAAAGAAAAAATAGTCACTACCCCCATCAAATTTAATGTGAAAATCTTTTGTATTAAAGTCTATGCAAGCCATTGATCATAACGATATGGTTATGGTTTAATATGAATAAATACTGTACCTGTCGTACTAGTAACTTGTTTTTATAAGCAAATGTTTTAAAAATTTTATAATTGATACATCCACTTGGTATTTTTGTCATATTAGCAACCTTCCAGACTTTGATTTAACTATCATCGGATTTTAATTCAATGATCTTTCATCACTTTATTATGATTTTAGCCAAGTTAATAATACGGACAAATCAGATGATTTTTGGATTTGCATTAATTATTTATGTAATAGTAACAGTACAGTTAAACTCATTAAACCCCTTTATTATTTTATTATTTTAGATCATTGTTGGTATACTCCCTATTGCTTGCCAAACTTTGTGTTTGTTTTCAAATTTTTTTTTTTAATTAATTCAAGCATTAATTTCCATTTTCACTAACTCAACAAAACTCTTATTAGCTCTTACATCAGAGCGCAAAGAAGAATATAATTTTTCAGATATTACCCCATCATATTAGAAAAATAGTTAACTCACTTATCACGTAATTGCCAATGAGTCGTCTTATGATGTAAAATGAACAATAGTCAATGTATTTTCTAACAGCACCAAAAAAGCACAAAAAGAAAAAGGGAAAGAAGGCAGAATTTCATAAACAAAATTCTTATCGAAAAAAAGGAGGTAAGAAAAGCTCAATTACATTTAATTGTTTCTAAAACAAAACCACCACATAAATATTTTTTACTATAACAATGTTTATAACAATAGAATTATCAAACCTCATTTTATTAATTTTGTATGGATTTTGTATGAATTCTGTATTGGGTTTGTATCACCTCACATTTGTCAAGTGAATTGCGTTAGCGTAAACATATTGAAAGATTGAATTCAATGGAATTAACTTTTTAATATGCACAAATTCAAATATTTTTACTAATGCCATAATATGATTTAAGCCTAATATATTGCAGCTTATTTTTAGCCATATAAATCGTTGAAATTATCAACAAACTAATTTATTTTATATTAAATATTTTGTCAAAACTTTTTTATCACCATTTATTGTAAATGCGCTGATATCATCAGATGACTGTAGCATTGAAAATAATTTCGAGTAATTTTTTAATGTCCCAACAGCATCGTTTAATTGCAGTTAATAATGCATTAAATCTCCTTAATCGCAACTCATTTTAAATTAAATGAAAAAAATTTCATAAAACGTTGAAAACGCACAAAAAATATCGCCGCCAGCGATGTTTTGCAGGGACACATTTGTAATGAAAATAATGAATGAAATTAAAATTAAAATTAAAATAAAAATTAAAACAAAAATAAAAGTTAAAATTAAACGGAATTGCACACAATTAAAGCGACAAATTAAATTGCACTTACTTTCGCACACGCATTCACAGGCGCGGTGCGTCCTTGCAGCGCATCCTAACAGCGCTTATATCTGCTGCTTGCGTATCAATTTAGTAATCCAAACAAAATTTAATTAATGTTTTTTTTTGTTTTTTGTAAATTGTTTCGTTATATTTTTTTGCTTTTGCTTATTGCAGTCAAAAAATAAATTAATGCATTTTTTAATTATTTTTTATCTACTCATGCATTACTATTCAATACAATTCATGCATCCACCTGCATGTGAGTACATCGGACTATACAACATTTTGCTATATTTATATATTAGTAATTAAGTAGTAAATCTAATGGAACGGCATGAGCGTCATTGAGCGCCCACACAGGCCCTCGAAGGCCCCTTTAAGTATGCAAATCTGTTTTGAGTTATGTTTGTGTACTGCAAATTGCAATTCGCGAATGCATGTTTAACAACATTTCACATATCCGCACTTCCTTCCGTTTTTGGTTAACTGGTTAACTTGTTCGAAAAAAACCGTACAAAAAAAAAAAAGAAAAACTTTCCCACGAAAAGAATCGTCGCTGCACAGTGCATTTAGCCACTTCCGCCGCAGCGGCGTTATTTTTCCGCTTGTTTAACTTGACCGACTTCGACCGCCCGTCCGTTTGACTGCGTGCAATGTATATAAATGTTTTAGAATTCGAATATTTATTTTGCAAATGCGTCTAAACTTTTTCAAACATTCTTAAATATGCCCTTTCAAATATTCAAAGTGCACTCGCTAACTATTCCACAGTTAATGCAATTTGAAATCAATGCAACTATTCAACGGAAGTTAACTGCATTTCGCTGCATTTCACTGCATTTGCTTGCTAATATTTGAAAATTAACCGTTGCCAAATGTGCTAAAGTCACCCAAATTCACCACATTACACCACAACACGATTTTCCTCGTTTGACTTGGAAATGCTTGTAAGACTGAAGGTGAAGACTTCACGATTGTTAAATTCTATAAAATTCTTGAAAATGCTTTGGGTCGTTCTCCGCGCGATTGGGAAATTAAACTGAACGCTGTGAGCAACCGTTTAGGACTACCGTACGAACACGACACGCATCCTAAGCAATGCCAAACTTTTCCTTTTCAATCCACAACACTGTGTGTGCGTAAGGGAAATTGAAATGTCGGAATTTGGGGTGAATTTTGTTGCAGTGTAAAATGTTCTTTCAGTCGCTGCGGGTGGTTAGTAAACATCATCCACACAGCATCATCCATTTTGGGGAAATGTGCTTGTATCTCACACACAAACGCTGTTGGTGTTGAAGTGAACACAGCGCAAATGAAGGGAAATTCTGAACACAGCAACATGTTGAAAATACCTATGAGCAGTTTAAGATGAAATGAAGAAAGGAGTTCACTTCATATACCCATTATTTAACATGGGTGACCTGAAAATTATTTGTTTCGTCACGTAGGAGGTACAACTTGTTACCAAGTAAAGCACTAAGAATTACCAAAATTTGATGACTTCATTAATTTGTAGATTTTTTTTTTGATAAAAATATTGCAACTGCATATAAAAATAATTATAAATAGGTTTTCGCAAAGTAGTAAACTACAACAACAAAAACTTTTTTTTTATTATTTTAATTAATTGAATTTTTGATTATGCCATTATCAGTGGTCTTGGAAATAAATCCTGTATTTATGTATTCGTAAATAATTTTTTGAGACTGTAAGTATCAGAAATCAAACTCGTGTCCTGCCAAATTTAAAGCTCAGAGTCAGCGCTCCTTAACCGACTATTACTGAACCAAAGCCGTACTTCACTTTTATGTTCGCACATTTTTCTGGAGTTTTGTTAATTTGCTGTGAAAGTTTCTTATTAACAAATTCACTTGCTGTGTTTAAGTTAGAACGAAATCACAAACCAACTATTGAATAATTGAATTAATTAAGTATATTAAATTTCAATACTATTCTGTTTGTAGAGGCATTATTTGTTGCTTGATTTATATATTCTTTCTTATATATTGAACCTAATCTTGGAATCTGATACTGAGAAAGTCATGATAATCTTATTCTACGATTCGCAAAGGCGGGACTAAAACACAATTCATAATAAAATTCAGCTGATTCTCTGGTTTAGACTTGTCAAAGGAATGGATAAAAATGCTCTGGCTAAAAATGCAGCTCTTTTAAATCTAATGTCTTAGCTCGATATTCCTGCAAAGTTAAAACGAGTTTACAGAATGACGTTGAGCAGTTCTCCTAGTTCCGTCAAGATAAGATCGAATTTCTCTGAGCTTTTTAATACCATGCAAAACTCGCATGATGATCTCTCACAAGGTGATTCTTTATCATGTGATATGTTCAATTTTGTTATGGGATAAATCATGTGAAGGCCATGCACCGCATTAAAAAACAACAACGATGTCAATTCGGAAGTAGAAGAAGAATCATTACTACCAATAGGTGCTCCCATGATCTTAATAGGCGATTGAGATAAATAACTGTTTCTCAGCAGATAAAACTTATACTCTGCAATGTCTACCTGTGCTTCTATATGACACAGAAGCATGGACATTATCACAGAATGACGAATCAAGACTGTAAGTTTTCGAAAGAAAAGTTCTTCATAAGATCTTTGGTCCTCTACGAGTTGGTGATGGCCATCACATGTTTATCACGACATTAATATAATTGAGCGAATTAACATTTAGCAGCTTCACTGCATTGTTCATGCGTTGAGGTAGGTAGACCGTATTTCCAGTGAAGTGATGAAGTTGAGGAAGTTGAAAAAGCACTAACCACATATGGTATACGAGATGCGCCTAAACAAGCATGCTGCTTTAGGCCTACACCCGATAACAGGCCGTTATGGCCATTTAAGCAAGTAATTAGGTTTATTTATAATATATTATTAATATTATTATATTAAAAATAAATTATTAAAAAAAAAATTAAATGCATACTGAAATGTGTTTATGTACTGTTTTATATTTTCAATAGCCTTAAATATATATATTCTTCGTATATTGATGTGGATTGTCCTATAATCATTTTTGTGATGGTTGTGGCTTTGCAAAGAACGAATTTGCTCTTAAATTAATGTATGATTGCCTATTTTCGGTGAGTATAAGAATAAAATTCTTTGGACCCATTAAAGGCTGCACTTGCACTCCAACCAATTCTTGCATATGTGAGATGTAATCTAATGTAATAAAATTATTTACATATTGTATTTCAATATAACGAATATTTACAGTTGCGGATTAACATGTTATTCCTTAAATGGATTCATGAATTTGAAAAAGTCCTCAAATTTAAGCTTTCCATCTGATGTGTAAGAAACAGCCTTTTGAATTTCATCCTCTGTCATATTGTTTGCGAAAGCAAGGCGTAAGTCATCAGCAGTGAGAAAACCCTTACTTTCTGTATCCAAATTTTTAAAATATGTTAGCATATTTTCTGTGGTGTAAGTTTCAATCATTTTGATAGTTATCACGGTTATGAACTTATCAAAATCGAAAAGGCCAGAGCCATCATCATGCTCCTGTGTAATAACTTGAGCTTCCGTTGTCGAAATCGGGTGGCATAAGAATGCACAAACCCAGCAAATAAGTGACGTAAATTTTTCTGCTGCCAGTTTTTGTTCGTTGGCTTCGGTAAATTCATAAAACATGTCTTTCAAAAGTGCAAGTTGCTCATCGGTCAATTCTTTTGCCATGTTGACTTTTCCAATTGAAACGAAGAAATAACGTTTTATTAATTCACATTAGATTTTGATCAATTCAAATATACGAAATAAATTTGAAATACTTTTCATTTGATACTAAGTATTTCGACACAACCCACCAACGAGCGTTGTGAAGAAAACTAAAAATTTTGAAAAATGCAATCTTAACGTTTTTGAGATAATTTTTATTTGGAAATAATTTTATTTCCTTTAATACCTATGAAGTTTTTCAACTTGTCCAAGCCAACTAAATCAAAATAAAATTTTTAACAACCAAAATTTTAAATGAATATCGATTTACCCTCTCACGTTGTACAAGAGTAAATGTGGTTTATAAGGTCTCCGCAATCCTTTTAAAATTATTACAAGCCCTTTTGCTAACCTTTTGTAAAGCTTTCTCGATTATATGAAGTGTAGAAAAAGATGTCATTTATATTTACATTACTCGAAACAGCTGTATGGTCAGCCAAAAATTCAATTAATTAAAATAATATAAAAAAAGAATATTTGTTGTTGTAGTTCAATACTTTTCAAAAAAACCTCTTTTTTTATTTGTTTTACAATAATAAATATAATTATTAAAAATATTCACCAAAAAAAATCTAATAATCAACCAATATTTGTTCAAATAGTAATTGGGGAAAAAGAGCACTGTTGAATAGGCAACATGCTGCGAACGTGCAAGCAGCATGCTGCCAATATAAGCAACATGCTGCTAACGAAGCGGTATGCCAATAACATGAAGAAAAATGTTTAAATGAATTCTACTCAACAGGGGTAAAAATGAATACAACAGGAGATAAGGGAATTTTTATAATGAATAAACGAAGGAATTTTTAACATTAAGCAACATGTTACTAGAGGAAGATTGTATTAATAAAAAGGACTTTCTTCTATTGAATATTAATAGTATAGAAATATGTTGCACATTCACTTTATTATGAGTATTTCACTAAAGTAATCATGCAATCACTAAAGTTTTTTTTTTTGCAGTAGGTGGAAGCATCGAAAGCCGCCATGAACCCACTAAACCACCTCTTAGGAATGGATGTGGAAGATTGCTGCCGTTCAACGAATACAACCCCCATTCCAGTAAACGAAAGTAGAAGGAGAGCAGAAGGGCTTAGTATTTAGCAAGCTAAATTCATCAAAGCCGAAGATAGACTAATTCACTTAGGAGAGATGGAAATAACGATGAAAGAGATGGGTTTACACAAGATTGCGAGGGGGGTCTAATTATGTATATACTCTACACTCAGGATCAAAAAAACCACGATTGTAAAGCGGAATAAGTGGAGCTCGGATGAGCTCTTCCTCAAGATAGTGCGCAAGGAATTGTGGAGGCTTATGCCTCATAATCTCAAGCAGTACTGTTGGGAGTGGATCTACTTGCAGAACATATTTAAATAAATGCATTATTTTGTGAATTTATACCATTTTTTCTTCTTTACCAAATTAAGCTTAACAATAAATTCCTTTTATTTAAATACGAGCTCGACATTAAATTTATTTAAAATTATGATTTAACTTTCACTTATAAGTACATATCAGAGTCTCGTTACCATTATAAAATGGAACTTGTCTTCATTAATTTCCCAAAACACTCTTTTTTGTACAAGTTTTTAAAGATACTTTTTCAAAGCATTTCGTTAGATATTCTATTGAAAAAACTAACCATTACACCTGCGGCTAGTAGGATATTGCAATAATTTGTATTCAGATATTCATTATAATAGGTTATGCCTTCTCAGCTCATTTCAGATAGTTTTTGTATATTTATCAATATTTTGTGTAGATCATTGTGTTGCTTCATATTTTGCTCGAAGCCTCTGAATAAAGGCATACATCCATTATCAGAATTGCCAGCGGGGTATAAATAAATGACCTTTGGTTATACTTAATTTCAAGAAATCGGAAAAATGTGTTTTTGAAACACTATTCACTCCATCCGATATATAAAGTCACCGTTACTTGAAATATTTTGTAAAAATGTGAAACATATTTTTCATTTAGGATATCTATTCTCTGGACTTGGATCAGTCAGTGTTTCAATGTTGGAAATACGAGCGGTATTTAAATCTAATGCAAGCATTTTTACTAAGTTATGTACCAGTTCTGTAGTGCCACCACCTAAAACAAACGTTCGTTTTTCATAGTAAATTATTGCAACTTCCAGGATCACAGCACAAATCCTGATGACCGATGTATGCATTTTCTCAAACTGGGTAAAATAATTAAAGGCGATGAATATCACATGAATAATAAAACCAGTCGTTCCACCAATTGCTTATATATATATTGCACATGACACAAATTTGTTGACATCTATAGCAGAACAAGATCTTTTGAGCTCAGATAAAACTTCGGTGCTTTCTAGAATGTGAGACCAATTTGTATCCCCAGTCTATTTCTTCTACCTTTAAGAGAGTAGAATAATACGCTTCTTCAACTGATTTTGTAATTTAATGCGTAAATTTAACCATACAAAGTATCAGAAATACTTTAAAAAAAGTTGAGATCCAACCCAGCCTATGTTGATGGTGTAGAGAAAATTCGAATGAATAATATATGTAAAAACAACACAAGCATTATATACTATAGAAAAGATAATTTCCTAGACTATACTAAACAACCGTTATATACATTACATTATAAGTTATGTTGCAGGAAAATAGATTCGTTGTTAGCATATTATTAGATGTATTTAAAGAGAAAATATTAATACTTAAGAGTAGTACAATCCAAATATTTTAGCTACGGCTTTAGTTGATAATGATGATCATTGCTTACCAGTTCAATGTCATCTCTTTTTTTAAGCTATTACTGTGATAATAATATCTTCATAATAATATCTTTAATATCTTCATTCCAACTTTTTCAAATTTGAGAGAGCATATTTTATAAATTTAATATACTCAACATATTTCCAAAAGACAAACAAATCAATGGTTCTGACTATGTATGTATGTATGGTATATATATTCTGACTATATGGTTCTGACTATATACAAATAGATTTATGCACATTTCATGCAAAACTATTGTACTAGTGTTGTAGTAGATTTACAATACAACAGAGAGAAAATCTTATAATATTTGTTATATGCGAATTATCTGTGATTATCTTATATTAAATTATAACAGAATATTTTATAAAATCCTATAAGATCTTAACAACACAAAAACCTTAATATATCAATATGTAAGTGTCGTCTCGCGTTAGTTATGTTTCTAGCACATGTATTTAAAAAAAAAATTACGAACATAATGTATATGTTGATTACAGATAAAATCTTATTAGATCTTTTGCGATCAAAACTAATCAGAACGGCAATAAAAATAGTTCAGGATGTTCGCGCATTACGATGCTTGATAAGTTGCACTACACTTGAACACCTCAAATTTTCAAAAATCTTCAAGCTGCTTTAATATACTCTAGTTCCTGAAACAGAAAATCCACTTCATATATCATTTATTTTCGTTTAGTTTTATACAAACAGCTAAATGTGCTCGAGTACATTGAAATGCTCGATGTTTTCGATCAATTCGAGTAACTCGAGCACTAGCTTAAATCTATTTAAAACATTATTTGAATTCATTTGTTTATTTGCAAATAAGTTCGTTCTGATAAAGAATTAAACAGAACAAATTACTTACACATATAACCCACTTATTGCATTCAGACAAAATCGACACAAAAATATAAATCGAAATTATAATCATACTCTTATAAAAAAGATATATGCCGATCTTTATTTTTTTATATTTTTATTAACTTTAAAATTGTATATATAATACATATATTTAGATTATTTGTTTATTTTAAGGAAAAAATTATTTTTTAATATTTTTTTATAAATAACAACCCTGCTTTCTAGTTCCTCTGTAACGTTGCTTACTTGCAAATTGTACGGACAATTTAAATCAGCTGATATTTGACTGCAAAAAAGGTGCTATAAAAAAGCACAACTAGAGCTCTTCGCCGTGCCTCGGCAACTTACGACTAAGCTCGGCAAGGGGTTAAAACATATGAACTGGATGGAACAGTTGTATCGTTCAGCTCTTTTATACGGCATATTCGCTTCTTGTTCTTTCTTTTTCGAAGGTGCTTGAGAGAGTTAACGTTGGTTTATGTCAGTTCGACGCGTGGCAAATTTAACAGCTAGAAATTTGGCCATGGATACTGCCGAAAATAATCAACAACAAGAATTATATACTGCTCCAGAAAATGTGAATATTGTACAACAAGAAGGTCGACCACTGACTGAAGCTAATGGTACTCGTGAAATGCAAGAAAATGAAGTGGTGCCTGTTTCTCCTTTATCCACCAGTGAGACTTGTGCTCGTACTCGCGAGCGTGAAATGAAATGGATAGGAAAATTGAAATGGTATAAAATGTCAAAACGTAGCGGGCAAAAAATAACACGCACAGCACTGTGTGCAATTAGCTTAGGACCTGGTAATCCCGTAGTGAAATGCAATAGATGGGCCAAAAACATAACTTTGCAATTAATTCCTAAAGATGTGGTGGGAAATATAAGCCGGTTGACTGAAGATTGTGAAGAGATTACATTCAACGTAGCTCTATGTAATGCATTTCATTCGCTTGCAAAAAGAATAAAAGAATTTGTCGGCTGTGTATACTTTAAACGTAGTACCACTAGGACCGCTGGCGATATAATGGTGGCATTAATTCTGTGCGCACGAGTGAAGGATGGATTTTTAGGTTTTATACCCAAAAATGATTCGATGATTGTGGAGCGACTACGCAAATACATTCAACTGGTACAAATGGCTGAGAACACCAATGCAGTTGGAAACAGCAACATAATGCATTCCACTTAAATTGTTAAAAATTTTAAATACGAATACGTAAAATAAATAAAGAATGCTAAAATCAGTTTAGCTGACTATCAGTTTGATAGTTTATTTAAAAAAGAAGTCTCTTTGTTGATATTTTTCTATTTAATAAAGATTGAAATCAAAACACAATACCTTTTAGAGGATATTATAGATGCATGAACATATATCGGATCAGTTAAGATAGCTTGAATTAATTCAATTCTGTAGCATATTGTGTTAGAAAGCACGTTTATTATTTATTGCATTAAGGACTAAAAAAGTATATATATTTACATATACATACATACATATATATATATATATATATATATACTTTTCTATGGAATGAATGAAAAATTGTGGAACAATGTGGAGGAACATATTTTAATGTCATTATTTAAGCAACATATACAAAATATTTTCAATTTTAATGGTTATGACTCAATAAATATTACTATCTAATATTATTATTTTAATTTATAATGGATATCGCAAATAATAAGAAAAACATAACCTAAAATTCTTTAAATTGTATTTGTTTAGAACACAGTGTGCACTGTTGCCAAGTTTACTTTGACTAGATTTGTTTGAAGTGGTTTTTAATAAGCGCTTTTGCTTCGGAAATCTTACAACGTGGGTGCATATATGCCCTGGATGATTTGGGACTCCTATCTACTAGAAATAGGTGTATTTCTAATAGATGTGCATTGCGTTACATCGAAAGATGTGCATTTTGAAGCCTACGAATCGGGAGAATGCACCAATAAACGCCACATTTAAGAGAATGTATATATGTGTGTAAATTTATAAATATTAAAATCGAAATTTAAAATTAAAAATGTTATTTAAATCGAATGAAAACAATAATAATAGCGGTGTTAATTTATATTTTCATAACAGTCACCACTACATAACCGATAGGGATCTAGGGTAGCCTGTCTGAAAGTCTCCCTTTTTTAAATAATAGAACGTCAACAAGGCTGGCAGGTGACACTGTCTTTACTGTTGTTGGATGGTTCCGAATTGAAAACTTGATCACTATGGGACGCAGTAAAGTAATATAGGCTGAATTGCTTGAAAAAATGAGTCGCTTAAAGCCTTGATTTCTCCATAGTATAATTATGAGAATATCATAGTGTCTTTAAGTATAAGAAATGCAATTGTGCACACAGTAAGTTAATATATTAAACAATAAAATCACTAACTAACTAGTATCTGAAACTTAATAAGTGGCTAATAAGTGACACTGAGAGAATGTACCCACCACAACCGGACTGAGAGGTGCGAGATGAGCATGATATTTGATTTTTTTTTAATGAATTTTATATCAGAAAAATTTCAAAACTAAGAATCTATTGAAAGCTGAATTGTTTCTGATACTTGTAAGGCCTTCGTGTTTATAATAAAAATTATTTTTAACCTTCTGCTAACTTTTTAAGAAACCAACGTAAAAGAATATATAAATCAGACTGTAACTCCTTTGAAAACATATCAGAAAGAGAAATTGTCCAGCTATTATCAAAGGCATGTCGACCTGAATAGCTACTATATCAACATGGTGTTTTCTACAATTTTTTAAATAATTAAAATATTTTCGAAATAACTGAACAGTACCGTTTAAAACGGTAAATATAGTCACCTTTAACAAAATTCACATAAACTAAATTAAAGTTTTTAATTTGCAAGTGTTCCGACACAGTTGGAATTATTAAGTATATTGGCTTTAAACGCTTACTCTGTCTTGTAAATACTCTGTCTAGTGCTGAGAACACTTATATATAGCAAAGCAAATCATTTTTAAGCTGTCTGACATTAAAAGCCACATATATATATAAATTACGTATATTTATATTTTATTTTTGTAATATTCATACAATTAAATTTATGTGTTTCTAATTTTAATCTTATACATCCTATTAGAAACTGGTTTGCGTATTTTTTTGCGTTTCTGCTGCAATGCCAAGACCTCCCTGTCTATTTTAATAATCACTTGCGCAAGCCGATCCATGTCACGTTGCAGAGTAGGTGTCAATACACGACTGCCATTCGGCTTACGAATCACCATTTTCCCATCCTCTAAAGCTTTTAAGGCTCTGCGCATAACACCACCAGAAGCTTTGCAAAAGCGTCCAGGACGATTACCACGACGGAGGCGACCGCCATAAATTTTGCAAAGCCTACCAACGCCAAGAGGGCGCCGCTTGTACAAATGACGCAAAATTGAAGCACATCGCGCATAAAACCAATCGGCATCATCTGGTCCAATTTCCTTGAACATGCCAGTCTTAAAGAATTCAATATCCGTTGGCACCTTAACTTTGCCATTTCTGTAAAAAATTTATATAGACGAAATATTACTATTTATTTATTTTACTGATTATATAAAGGTATATATACTTACTTTTTTAACATAACGGCCAATGATGAAGTAACCGCGTGTTGATCGACATCAGTCATCAAAACCGAAACTGCTTTCGATACAGTGTAACGTTTTTTACCCATTCTTCTAAATTCCTTTCAGAGCACAGCGAAAACACGACCACACACGAAGACCACAATGTGAAAAAGAAAAAGGGACTCTCGTGAAGTTAGTTGCTGACTTCTGAATATATGCCTGTCATCTAAATTTGAAAATGTTCGGAAATTCTGGAATACTATTACAGCACTCAATGCAATCATAATTAAATGATCGCAGTTCATTTGGTATACACAAAAAAAAAATTTAAGTAAAAGTTAATATGGAAAGTTATATATATATACATGCATTACATATATATATATATATAGTATATAATATTGTATATATATTCATCCTGAAAAATTCTGGTTTGTACTTTAACAGTAATTTAATAAATAGTGTAGAGAAAAGTCTTTAATAACTTAATTACAAATATACACATTAAAAGCTAACTACAGCAATTTAGTTCTAGATAATTTAGCCAGCGGTATGATAAAATTAAGGTTAGGGTAATATAATATATATATATATATATACTGCAAAGAAAACCTTCACTTTTATCATTTTGGCAATCTTAACATATTTGGTAAAAAATATTAACATGTTAAGTATATAACAGTCACGACTTCAAAATGACTACTACATAATTTACCGTACTTTTTTTTTTTTAAATTTTCGGCAAAGGAAATAAAAAGCACTTGTTTACATTCTTTTTTTTAATAAAAAAAAGTCAAGTAATACCTTGACACCATTAATTCGAAAAACAAATTCTTAAAAGCTATGAAATAGAGCATTTCAACTAAAATAGTAAAAATCCCACAAAGCTTATATTAAAGGAACGAAACAGCTGTTATAGGTGATCATCAGTCATTGGACTGTGGGTCGAAAAACTTATTTCTCACCGCAGTTTACACTTTCTTGCGAAATGCTATTGCTCGATGAATGCATTTTTAACAGATGTGAGAGAAGAAATTTGTATATACACAAAATAAATATAATAATTATTACATTAAAAATTTTTATTTTATACTTTTATAATTTTTTTCAGTTCTTATAACACAAGTTTCCAAATTTTGATATCTTTAGAAAATAAGCGACACGCTTACAAAAGAAAAAGCCTATTGATATTTAAGTACAAACTTGAGCTCCTTATCCTTGTTTTTTTACATTTTCCTATTTTTAAAATCTATAAAAAAATAATAAGACCTAAAATTACTTATTTTTTATAAAAACTCACGGTTTAATTAACAGTGAATAAAATTTGACAGAAGTGTACACTTTTTGACAGAAAAATTTACTTCTCACAGCTGAGGTAAAATAGCAAAATCAAATTTTAAGCAAATTTTTTCTGGTACTTGCAGTTTCAAAAATAATTAAATAAGAATAATTAAAGACAAGAATAATTTCCAAGACTACTGATGATGGGTATATGGTAATACTCGAAACAGCTGTATGTTCAGCCAAAAATTCAATTAATTAAAATAATATAAAAAATAAAATTTTTGTTGTTGTAGTTCACTACTATTCGAAAAAACCTTTTCATCAAATTTTTGTATACACTTCAATTTGCACAGTTGAGGAATAGACCCCCTGGTCTAATTTTTTTATGGTGTAAAGCAAGGTTGCTATCCCATTTTATTCGGATATTTTAATATTCGAAGTTATTCGATTATTCGATTACCCGGATAGTAACGAAGTCTCCGGAGTTGAAAAATTTTTTGTAAGTCCGGAGTTTTCGAATATCCGTATATGTATATCCACGGTTGCCACTTATGGTACTTTAGTACCAAAGTTGGTACTTTTTTTTTTTTTTTTCGTTTGGTACTCACGTTCAAAAAATGGTGGATAATTTATTGTGGATATTTCCAATTAATTTTTTTATGACTGCAATTTTGCACTATTTTATATTTTGTTCATTTATAACACTATCAAAAACACAGAACGAGAAAACAAAAAGGTCCAAAAAAATTTCGGACCTTTTTTTACAGAAATGGTACATTTTTAAACAAATTTTGGTACAGAAAAAAATTTTCAAGTGCCAACCGTGTGTATATGTACGTATATGTATTTTATATAATATTTCATAGTTTCTTCAATACAATATCATTAACATAAATTATAAATATTGATATAAGTTATTTAAAATGTGTATTTTTTATTTAGTAATATATAATCAAATGAAATAAAATAAGTGAAATAAAATAAAATAAATATTACACACACATAATTTTCTCGAAAAAGATATAGAAGAGTAAGTGAAAGTTAGTAGAAAAATCGTGTGTAAAATTTTTTGGATTATTCAAATAATATTCAAAATGTTGTGTAATGAGGTGAAAATATTACGCAGTACAAAAGCAAAAGGCCTAATGCTACACAATGGTGCATGATCATTTTCCCCACCAGGTCTTGCTATTTTGCCCACACGGTACCTACTCACCACGATATTTGCTAAAATAAGAACACTTTCTGAGAAATATTGTTGTCTGTTTTAGTTTCTTGACATTAAAAATCCGTTTTGAGAAAATACATCAAAGTTGTAATTAATTACACAAATATCATATTACTTAAAAAAAGATGAATCGAATTTTAATTACAAATTTTTTAATGAGAATTTTTTTTTTTTTGGGGGGATGAGATGGAAGTACGCACTTGGATGTTTAAATTTCAAACATCTTTATATTTTTCCGAAGAATTACCGAAGGTGAGTTATTAATTAAAAATAATACAATTTATTATTTTAAAAAATTCTTGCTTTTATTTTTGTGCGCAAACCTTCAACCTCTCGAATTTCGGCTGTAGAATTGTTACTTTCATGCTTTTATAATCAAATATTGGTTTCAAAGCCATGCCCACAGTATATCGCTAAATAGCAATACACCGGACATAGTGATGGCTAATCAGCGGGATGTGCACAATATGTCTAACAAAAAAATTGATTAAAATCTAAAGCTGTACTTAACCCTGTTTTGTTCACACTACAGAACATTACATAGCAACTATAATAATTTCATTTTGATTATAATTAAATACACATCAAAATTTAAAAAACATAAATATTTAAATTCATTGAAAATTAAATCTAAAAAAATTAAAATAAAAAATTTTTTTTTATCTAAAAATTGTTCAGAAAAATTGTATCTAACTTGGCATTCCTTAGCAAATCAATGCAATTAAAATGAATCAATTATATTTGAAACAAGTATCTATCTTTCAACATCTTTTCAATTTAATCGACAAAGACCAAGATGGACACATCACACGTGAGGAATTTTGTGTTGTCTTGCGTTATATTGTTCCCAACTCAACTGAGGAAGAGGTGCAAGATATAGTGAATAAAGTTCAGACCGATGCGAGCGGTAAAATGGATTTTCAGTCATTCTTTAATTTTATTGAATCTAAAATAAAGCAATTCGAAACTGACGACGATTTATCTGAAGTTTTTCATATATTGGATAAGGATTCCAATGGTTATATCACAGCCAATGAGCTTGGAATGGTTGTTAATAATCTAGGCCAAAAATTAACTGAGGAACAGCTAACTGAGATGATAAATGAAGTCGACACCGATGGAGATGGACAAATAAGCTATGAAGAATTTATTAATATTATGAGAGGAACCGATGATAAAAATTATAGTACAAAGCAATAAAATTATGATTTTCAGTGTTGGAGTAATAAGTTTGTAGATAAGTCTTTTCCATCAAACTAATGAGTTTCACTTCTGTCTCAGTGTGTCATTGGTCTATATTGAAAAGACAATTGCTTCAAGATATTTGGAAAAGAAGTTATTCTATTAAATTTAAAATGTTATATTTAAATATTGTTGTGTGTAATTAATTAAATTGCATAAATATTTTACTTTACTCGTAATCAAAAAGATTTGCACAGTGCTTTTTGATATTTAAATATTTAATTTCTACTTAGTGTCCTTTGAAAATTCTTTAAATTTATAGTGTAAAAACTTTCAATACAAATTTTATTATTAAGATATAAATGTTTTTGAACGTTCCATAAATTTGAAGTCTTATAAAAATTTAAAAATCTTCAAAAAAAAATTTTTTTTGCTATACCTTAACGTTTTTAACATTCGAAAATAACTTACGTGCTGCAGTAGTAAAACATCCATACTAAGGGCATTAAAATGGAAAAAAAACTACTATCGGATCACCTTTCCTATATGAAGGAAATGTTTACCATAGTCGATATGGATCACGATGGTTTAATTTCAACTGGAGAACTGATAGCATTGATACGATTAAGTGGGCAACGACTAGGCCAAAATACCTCTGATGCTGCAGTTGAGGGTATGGTTCGGGAGATTGTTGCTAATGATTGTGGTAAATTTAATTTTTCAAACTTTGTACAAGTGAT